GGGGTGGGAGGGGAGGGGAGGGAACACTGCAAAAAAAAAAAAAAAAAAAAGCATTGACCCATGTCACTTTAGTTTTGTATATTTCACTGTACATAAATTATATTTCAATAAAATGCAATAGAAATTAATTCCCCCCTCCCCTCCTATCAGTCTCAACCATCAAAGAATGTTGCTTTCTCTATGTATACCTATTCTTGACCACACAGTGTTTGCCCTTTTGTAATTAACTTATTTCACTCAGCATAATGTCTTCCAGATTCATCCATGTTATGTTTTGTGTACTCCTTATACTCTTTATAGTTGCATAGTATTCCATGGTACGTATGTACCACAATTGGTTTATCCATTCATCCATTGATAGGCACTTAAATTGTTTCCATTTTTTTGCTGTTGTGAAAAATGCTGCAGTGAACATAGTTGTGCATATGTCTACTCGTTTCACTGCTCTTATATCTCTAGGATATATATACCTAGGATTGAGATTGCTGGATAATAAGGTATTCCTATTTCTAAGTTTTTGAGGAAGCACCATACTGTTTTCCATAATAGTTATACCATTTTACAATCCCACCAGGAGTGTGTAAGTGCTCCAATCTCTCCACAACCTTGCCAGCAACACTTCACTTCTAATACTAATTTGTTTCTATTATTTACTGATAAATAAAGAAGCCCTGGTGGCAAGGTGGTTAAAGTGCTCAGCTGTTGATTAAAAAATTGGTGGTTTGAATCCACCAGCTGCTCTGCAGAAGAAAGATGTGGCAGTCTGCTTCCATAAATATTTATAGTCTTGGAAACCCTAAAGGGCAATTCTGCTCTGTTCTGTAGGGTTGCTATGAGTCAGAATTGACTTGATGGTAGTGATTTTTGGATTATATTGACAAATAATAAACCACTCCAAAACATAGAGGCTTAAAACCCTCAATGTATTATTATTCATGATTTTGTACTTTGACTGGGTTTCTGGAAAGTTCTTCTGCTCCATATGATGCAACTGCTTTAATCTGGGAGCTCAGACTGGGCTGGAACATCTAAGATAGTTGCTCATCCTCCAGTCTTTCTGCACATGACCTGTTCATTCAGTAGTCAAGTGAAGTTTTTATACCATGGTAGCTGGCTTCCAAGAGGACAAAGCCTCAATGTGTAAACACTTATCAAGCATCTGCTTGTACAGTGCTTGTGAAGGCCCAATGGGCCAAATCAAATTACATGGCCAAGCCCTGCCTTAATGTAGGAAGAAACTGCATCAAGGTACAGATAATGGGAGGTGTTGTTCATTTGAGGTGTCAGCAGTGTAACAGTCCACTACAACTTCTGCTGGCCATGTATCTGCTGGCTATAATCAGGGTAAAAGGTCTCTAACTGCAGAATTCTTAGTGACCTAGCAGGAAAAAAACAGTTGGGCCAATCCAACTCTTCTTCCAGAATTTTGGAATTGAGAGACTGGGAGATTAGGTCACTTAGCTAGGAGGCGCTGAGTAAAGGTACTGCAGAGCTACTATTTTGGGACCTGAGGAAGCTGACTGGGAGGCAGAAGTAGATGCACAGAGAAAGAATGGAGCAGACTTACACAGAGAGATGGAAATGAGAGGAATCATGTTTATCCTGAGAGCTGTTGAGAGGAGTTCATTCCTGACTTCCCAATTCACACAAAGCTACTTGACCTTTGCTTCTTGTTCTTTGCCCATGAAAGTATCTTTTGCATTCCTACAGTAAAGCACCCTATATTTGAAAAAGAAAAATAAGGGCACTAAGGCCAAATCATAATGGGGCATTTAACTACTTGCTAAAAGAGTTTAGACTTTACTCACCAGTAAGATTTTTGAGACCATGAATTTTATGATCCAGCTAAGTTATTAAAAAATAACTCTGATGACGGTGCAAAAGAAATAAAGAAATGAAAGACCATTCATTCAAGAAATATTTACAGGCATACCATGGAGATACTTTGGGTTTAGTTTCAGACCACTGCAATGAAGTGAATATCACAATAAGGTGAGTCACAAAATTTTTTTTTTTGGTTTCCCAGTATATATAAAAGTTGTTTACACTGTATTGTAGTCTATTAAGTGTGCAATAACATTATGAAAATGTTTGAACTATTGTGAGAATTACCAAAACATGACACAGAGACAAGAAGTGAGCACATGTTGTTGAAAAAATGTCTCCAATAGACTTGCTCAACATACAGTGGCTGCAAACCTTCAATTTGTAAAAAATGCAATAAAATGAAGCACAGTAAAATGAAGTATGCCTACATTGGGTACCTACTGTGTACCAGTCACTAGGGATACAGTGGTGAACCATACAGGACACAGTCTCTACCTCCTTACAGTTTACATAGGGAGAGAAGAAGGGCACGGACAACAAATGAACAAAAAAACAAGAATGACAAATGTCTATAAAAACCATTAACCAGGGTGATGTATTAGAGACATGCAGGTAGAGTTGAAGGCTATCTTACATAATCAGGTAATCAGGGAAGCCTCTCCAAGGAGACAAATGCCAGAAAGGAGTCAGTTATACAGAGACCTTGGGAAGGACATTCCAGGCAGAGGGAATAACAAGCACAAACGCCATGAGGTGGGTATATGCCTGGTGAGTTCAAAGAACGGAAAAAGGCAATGTAGGTATAGTAATCAAAGGACACAATGCCTAATCAAAGAAGTTACACATAAAGTGTGTTAAAGACTTTAGATTTTACCCAAATAAAAATGGAAAGCCTTTGGACGGTTTTAAGCTGAGGAGATAAAATTGATCAGATTTATTTAATAAAAAGATCACTATGGCTGATACAGGAGCTCTGGTAGCATAGTGGCTAAAGCACTTGACTGCTGACCAGAAGGCTGGTGGTTCAAACCCACCAGCCACTCCTC